AATATACCTTGGTGTGGAGACTTAGAGGTTCTCAATTTTGGGAACTTGGAGAAACCTTTTCATCCATCCAAATCCATGGATCTAAGATGCAAGGAATGAAGGCCCTCTCTTTGGGTGATTAGCCTTTGCTTATGCAAAGAGGAATCTACAAAGGTATTGATTTCTCAACTCACTTTGTTTTGAGTTGAGTCTTGGTTCACCTATCTACTAGGCTTTGAATTTCATGGGTAAATGTTTTGTTTTTAAGTGCATACAAGCATGATTCCGCCTTTAATTGTTAATTGCATGCTATTGATGTTGCTTAAATGAACATGTTTTTCACAAATCTTCCTTCAGCATCAAGGAAGGAAGGAGGGAAGGACTTGCGCCGTGCAATCTGCCATCCAAAGGGAGCCGTGCTTGCCATTGGAGTGTGGAGCATTTCTGGGTTCTTTCTATCCTTAATTTTAGTTTGATGTTTATTTTAATTTGGTTTTCAATTATGATGAACATGAGGAACTAATTTCTTTATAGTTGGAGGTGAATTCGAAGCCATGATTATATGTTTTATATGAATTGATTACATCCAGTTATTGTTTCTTGAGTCTTGAATGTGATTTGCTTATATGAGTTATCAAAACTTGTTTATGTATGTTGATTGAGGGTCGACACTTAATTTTCATGCATGAATTTGATGCTAGAGTATAAGGGAGTTTCACCTAATCGTTATGAACTTATATTCACAAGTAGTGGAAGTCACTAGTCATGATTGTGTTAAGTAAATCCTTGGTATGAGTATCATGCTTTTCATAGTTACGAATGCCTCGTCAATGCTTATGGTTTTCAAAGAACTTAATGACCTTTGATATGTCATTCTATCATGCTTTTCATAGTTAGGGAACTTGATAAGGATAACTTGGTTGCGATGCGTATTCCATCCAATTCAATGAGTTAAGGAAAATCTGATGGTTAATTTGTGCTATCACGGTTAACTTGGGGTGTTATCATTCATAGTCTAAAGGAATAATAACTGGAAATTGGTTTGTATGCATATGTCATGTGTGGAGAAGGACCTTCTAACTAGCCTTTCACCCTTTTCAATTCACCAAATTCGTTTTTATAAAATGTTTTATGCAAAGTTTCTGTTTTAAGTTTTAAATTCGTCAAAAACAATCCCCCTTCCATTGAGTCTTGTTATTTGAGTCAGAATCTGTTTTCTGTTAGTCTCTTGAGTCAAGTTAAGTCTTATTTTCGTAAAAATCACTTGTTAGGTCTAGAATTGAGTCTTTTTTATTGTTTGTTGTTGTTTTGAGTGTTTTGAGTCAGTTTTGAGTCTATAGAGTCTAATCTAGTGTTTTTAAGTCTTATTTGTGTTGATTAGCATCCCTAGTTAATTCCCAGTCTAGAATGATCCCTACTTACATATATACTACAATTGTTGACATTAGGGTTTAATTTGTGTGTCAAGTTAATTTTCACATCACGTACCATCATTGGCTATACATCACCGTTACAACAATTCTACCTCAAAATTTCTAACTGCACTCATGAGTGATACCAAACATCAGAATTTTTTTTTCCAAATCTTTCTTTCAATTGATTCTCTTTTAAATTGCTTTAAAGTGCGGCCAAAGATCAAATAAATGAGTGACTCGCACTTCCAAAGTACTATTCACATTTCATCAACCAAGGAAGAGAAATTTAAATATATTACAACTCCATTGGCCAACATAACTAAACCCTTATTAATCACAAAGCCACAAGAATGTGTGCTCGTCATCAGTTTTGTTCGCAGTATTAAATCTAACAATGACAACTCATAACTATGGCAACCAAAACAATCGAATTTGTAATTATAAAATTTCCCCATCAATTCTTTTCATCAAACATAAAAATTTAACTGGGAAAACGTTTATATTAAACGAACTCAAAATCTCATTCCATATTTTCATTCATGTCCACCAATAATATATGAAAAGAAATCTTCATGGTCTTTTCACCATTCCAATTATAATGGTCAAACCATAACCATAGTTTATAATTTCATTCCCATTCGATACACCACCATGACTTTCATAAATATTAAAATTTTCATCCATCATTATCATTGGCCATGCAAATATAAAGAATTCCTAAGCATAATCATCATTGGTTAAACAAAGATTTTACCACGATTTTCTTTCTGTTCCAACATGTGACTAGTAGTTTGGAACGAATCGTAATATACCCAGCAATTATACATTTCCACACATCCCATTGATAACTCATTCTCACAGCCCACACATAGAGCTTTTCTCCTGCAAACACTTTATGCCCATTCAACCACTTTTCCACTTTCTATGGGTCATTCTGCCCAAATCCACATCCACGGACCATTTTGCCCAATTAGACATTCCTCCAATTCCACGAGCTATCAAGCCCAAATCGACATCCACAGGCCTTTTTGCCCAAGTCAACATTCACGGGCCTTTTCCGCCCTAATCAACATCCATGGGCCCTTTCGCCCAATTCATCATCCTCGAGCCATTTCCGTCCAAATCAATATTTCTCAATTGCATAGGTATAATACAACCTTTCCATCTACTTGTCTCAATTTCACAATCATCCTAACATTCAAATTTTTCATAATACATAACATAATATCAACTCCATTCAAGATTAATCTGGAACTTTAAACCAAAAGCTCAATCTTAAAGCTATGCATAAAATATGACATTTTAAAATTTTCTACTCCTACTTAATTCAATTCACTTCATAGTGATTCACAATATAGGCATTTCACATAAATTCATCATTAGTCAAGAACTTTTGAAATAGTGCAATATCAATACACTTCACAATTCACATCCACAACCATCAATATTATCTCACATTGTAAGGTGGGATCATTTGCTCTAATACCATTTGTAACAACCCAATTTCTTAATTCGGAAGATAATTACTATGGTAAGCCCAAAGAAATTAAACCCTAAGATTTATTTTTAAACTAATCACCCAATTCCTTTTCTAAGACAAATTTTCAACAAAAGATTAATTTCAATTATTTTATGGCTGCATCTAACTTCTTGTTAGATTGCCTACCTACCCTAATAGGGATCAAGCCATTCGTGGTTCACCTTTCATTTTTAATCCATTTCCTAAAATATTCAAGTAGAGGAAATATTCCATACCATATTTAGCAATTGAAACACATCAATTGGATACCCAAAAATGAATTCAGAATATCAAAATCTGCGTAAAAAGGCAGCATCGTCCCACTGGCCATACGCAGTCGCAGGTGGCGGTTTTCGGCGAACTTAAACCCAATTTTCCGAAGAACTCCAAAAATTACCAAATTTTTACAGACTTATAGAACACAACAAGGGGAACAACTTTCATACCTGGGCCGAAGTCCAATTCGGCCGGGAAGCACCTGAAATTGGCCTCACACCATCGGAAACCCTAGAAATGGGTGTTCTTGATTCAACGCCAAAACAAACTCCGACACTACAACCAATGCTTGGGCCTTTCTATTGGGATTGAGGGGAGTCTATTGGTGGTGGGGATCGATGGTAATCGTTGTCGGAATCACCGAAAAAGGGTGAAATCCACCGGACAAACTAGAACTTTGTGGCTTTGATTCGTAAAATTGGATTAGAAATTTAAAAATCTAACACCACAGGGACGTTGGGCTCGCCGAGAGCTTTCCATGGACACCAATATTACCCAAAACGAAAGTCGGATGAGGGAGATACGGCTGGGTCGGCGGGTCAAAAGGAAATCTGATTCCTTATTCCTTTTCTCCCTCCTTTTCCCTCATTTCCTCCCTTCCTGATTGGCCCTCCCCTCTCCTTTTCTCTCCCACAACTCTCTCTTTTACCCTCTCTCCTGCTGCCATTTGGCAGCTTCTTTTTTTTTTTTTTTTTTCAACTAAAATGTCTCTAATTTATTCATTATAACTCCAAATTACATTAATTACATTCTGTTTGCGCCCACACGTTCATATCGACGAGTACTACTCAAATATGTAATAAAATCTGAAAAATCATGCAAAGATCAAATATGTCCACGAAGAATCCCTTTAATACTATAGGGCCAATTTTGTTTTTTCCACTTGTCGATAAATTTTACGACTTAAATTATAATAATTTCTCATAACAAAATTTTAAAATTTCTCGATTAAATTTTCATAACCATAAATCGATTGAATTTCACTTTTCTCCACATATTCATAATTATGAATATTTAATTCATATATTTAAATTTTCAGGGTATTACACATTATGTGAGAATCCTACTAGACTTAGGAAGTGCTCACAACTTCATTGATTCAGGCTATGGAATATACTTGCCGTTATCAGAATATGATGACGAAGTTAGAGAATATTCCTCACCTTGATAGACTATTCTGTCATCTGCTTCCTTTCTCCAGTCGTTAACGATGTTGTCTGCTTTGTCGAAACTTCATCGAATTATGGGTTTTTTGCTGGAATTCTTCACAGAGCTATAAGTGAGTCATTTCTCAACCAAATTTCACGATGCAAATGTCAAAATGAAGCTTGGAAGAGAGCAACAAGATTATATCTATTGGAAGTCCGAAAAGTGGCTGGAGATGGCTTGAAACTATCTGAAAAAGCTGAGCTCATTTTCAAAGTTTCAAATCTTTGTACTCCAAGGTATATTTGAGCACAGATTGCTCGAACCTTGCTCTATGGATGGTGGTGAATTGATTGGCGACTCAAATTCGCCCAGCACGACAGTATATTCCTTAGTGTAGATATATTTGAGCACAAATTTGTCTTTGGCGAGAATCGAATCTAACACCTCTCACCTACAAGTGAAAAGAAATACTACTAAACCGTAATGCTAAGTGGCCCGAGGCTTCTCTTTAGATTAATTCCTTGATTTTGCTAAAAAAAAAAATCCAAAAAATTAATACCATTCTAATCATATTGGTTGAAAAATAAATTAAAATAAAAAGAAAAAAAAAAAAAACATTCTTTTTAGGTTACAAAATTGGGTAATGAAGTGCATAACGAACCGGGATGATGGACGTTGATATCGGTACGCTACCAGTACACTCCAGAAAGACGCAGCACAAGTGAAGTGTTCTCATTTTATCACTACCTTCCTTCCTCGCTCGCTCGCTGCTCTTCGAAACCCTTATCTCACGTGAGATCTCACGGACCTCTCGCCATCCATGGGTACGCAACTCTAAACCCTAATCCCCTAATCTGATCATCTGTTTGTAGAAATCTCGCTTGCTTAATTTCTCGAATTTTCGTCTCCTTTCTCTTTAACTTTTAAGTTTTGGAGATCGTTTTTGTTCCGCGATTAAGCTCCGGTAGATCCAGGCGATTATTTGGCGATTTTATCTGAATTTTTTTTCTTGTATTCTAGTTCATATGTAAAATTTCAGTTTCTAGAAGAAAACGCAAGCGCCGGCGACACGGTCAATATCCCTAAAACCTTCTTCACCGACAGAGATGCTGATAAAGGAAGAAGAAGGAGAGAATGAATGCCATAGCGATATGAATCCCCCAAATCCCTCCTCCTCCTCTTCCACCGCCACCAACAGAGATGCCTCCGATGGCTTTGAAACTGCTAGCGAAGGCGAACTCAACGACGACGAAATCCCTCAACAACTCCATCTCCAAGACGAACAACAAGAAACTCCCTCTCCGAACGATGACGACGTTGAATCGAAGCAGGTAACTCTCAGTCGAAGCGACTGTTCATCTTCTTCTGGTAAATTCCATTGGTAATCAATATTGTAGATGATTCAATTACTTATTGATACTTGAAGAGGTCAATTTTGTTCTGAAATCTGAAAATCCAATTTGGTCATTGTCTCTTAGTTATATGTATATCTGATCGGGGAATTGATTTTATTGCCTACGACTCCTATGTTTGTGTTGAAATACATTTTTTTTCAATTTGTTGGTTTTGCATCGGAAGCAGAAAGCGTTTGAAGAAGCAAGTGATGTGAAAATTGAAGGAAATAGACTTTTTGGCAGTGGGCAATACCAGGAGGCACTAACACAGTATGAGCTTGCTTTACACCTTGCACCTGATATGCCACTGTCTGTCGAATTACGTTCCATTTGTCATTTAAACAGTGCAGTATGCTTCTCGAAATTGGTACGTTATGTGGGTTCACATCTTTGGAAACTCTTCTGGACTCTGATTCCCCTTTGATTCTCACATGTTAGACAATCCATGATTCCAAATTTCTAAATATGTAGCAAGATGTATTGGTATACATGGATGAAATTAGTTGAGGCTCTTAATATTCATAATAACTGATCAAAGTTTATAAGTGATGCTTTAAGGTTCTTAATATTTGGACTTAAGATTTATTGTGAAAGACAACGAATAATTCAAGTTTATATTAGATGGCATTGTTTATCAAAATTTCTGATCAAAGTTTTCCTGATATTTTTAAGCCATGGTTGGAATTTAGTGCGAGTGCTATTTGTTCGAATAAGCCGTTTTCACTTTCCTCACAAAAAACTAAAAGGCTGTTTTCACTTTTAGTGTTTCCATTATCTTCCCTTTTCTTATTATGTGTTTTGAAAAGGTGTCGTATTCTTTTCATTAGAATTGTACACAAATGATACGTTATGGTGCATAATTATTACACTTTTAATCTTCACAGGAAAAGTACGAGGACGCAATCAAGGAATGCACAAAAGCGCTTGAACTCAATCCTTCATATATGAAAGCTCTGCTTAGAAGAGCAGAAACTCATGAAAAGCTCGAGCATTTTGAAGAGGCTATTGTTGGTAAGTTCGAATTTAATACCAAAATTTAACCACTAGAAACAACTTGTCTTCTCATTAGGTGGACTAATACTAATTTGTATTGCTCAATTCTTGTTTATACACTACAGATATGAAAAGTGTCTTGGAACTGGATCCTTCAAATGACCAAGCCAAAATGGCCATTCGCCGTTTGGGGCCACTAGCTGAAGAAAAGAGAGAAAAGATGAAAGAGGAGATGATAGGTCAGTTTCTCTCTGTTTTTTGGTATATAAGTGGCTGGTGGGTTGATTCAATTATTTCCTTGTGCATATTGTTAACCGCTTCATGTTTCGTGGTTTTATTTTCTCTTTCTTGCCCACTCAATCAAATTATTCCCAAAAGCTATCTGTACCATGATTATATAATTTTCCAGTAAAGTACGGAAAAGAATCCCAATCCATCCCATAGACAGACCATTCTGCAAGCCTTCGCATTAAACATGACTTATTCTTTATCTTGCGAAACAAAGACCAAAGGATAGGCAAATTGGACTGTATTGCAGGGAAATAAGCAATGTGGTTTGCAAAGTCAAATAATTACATGCTGAATGGCGAAAGTAACTATTTTGTCTGATTTTGTGAAACAGTGGAAAAACTAAGTGTGGAAAGAAGGAAGTACTAATGTGCATCATACTAATCAATTCCTTAATGACATATGATCTTTGCTTATGACTCGCTAGCTTTTCATCGAAACTTGTCCATGATTTCCATAGGAGTTGCTGTGGCGGTTTAGGGAGTGGTCGGGCAATATTTTATTCTTCTTGATGCTGTCAACTAAATGAATATTTAGCACATTGGTTCTCCTTTAGAAAGTGATTATGTTATTAAAGATGTTTGTTTCAATTCTTCTGTCTCATGACTCTGGTGGTTATTCGCATATTCAGTGCTTTCTGGTGGCATCAGACATCATGTCCAAAATTGCTATGCCTGCGGGTGATATATTTATGCGGCATAATTCATTTTGAAGTCAGCCTAGGCTGTTAGTGGGCTGACATGTCGTTCTCTGTAATCTACATTTCCGTACTTCCACTTGCTAACATTAAATTTTCTCATAAGAAGGAAGACTGAGGGTTTAAAACTGTTGTGTGTGAGCAGGGAAGCTGAAAGAAATGGGCAACTCGCTTTTGGGCCGTTTTGGAATGAGCGTCGACAACTTTAAAGCAGTCAAAGATCCAAACACTGGCTCATATTCTCTTTCATTCCAACGCTAGCACAGTTGTGTCCATATCCTTTAACAATGAGGGAGGAATGGGTGTGTAGGCAGGATTGTTATTTACAAGTAAATGCTGAGCTGAGAAAATCATTTGTGGCTAGTAGTGATTGCTTTCGTGAATTTTAAGCCCGTACGGTTTCTATATATGGATGAAATCGGCACCATTGCAGTTTGTTTATGATCTTCTTTACATTTATTACCATGTAAATGAGACTTGGAATGAGATTCGTTTCAAACAATGTGGGTTCTGGGTTGAAAGTGATTGATATATAAATCCTACAATCGTAATTGGGTTACTAGTTGTCCGGTATGTTTTGCTGTAATTTTGAACTCAGAATTGCAAAGGTGATTCCTGGCTGCTCCAGTACTACTCTCTTTTCTTCTTTGTAGGGTTTTGTCCTTGGCGGTGAACAATAGTCACTTGTGGTGATAGTTGTTTCGCCGGATGCCGAGTTCAAGCCCAGAGTACGCCAGTTGGTTCCAGTCTTGCACATCGGCGAGCAGGAGCGTTTTGACACACTTGTAACATGTTGCGCGCCCGCATGCTGAAAAATTACCAAAGAATAAACTTTGGCAACTGCCGGTGCCTGCTGCCATTCCCGTCTCGTCCCGTCCCGTTCAAGAGGATATGCATATAATTCTCCAGTCCCCAAAGAATAAATTCCAACGCAGAACTTTATTTGAAGAAGAAAGTGAAGCAAAATTTGTTTCAAATTAAAGAAAAAGAAAATACATAATGATCTTTTGAACTTTTTATGTGGTGGTATTTATAATATATATAGAGTACCTTGAGGACCAAGAAATACCTTTATTAGACAGCACAATCTCTTTCTTGTTTAAAGAATTCAAACAGTTCGATTCAAAAATGATTGAAAAGAAAGAAGCCATTGTCATACAAACCCAACGCATATCATAGCAGAGGGTTTGATTGCATGCCAGAGAACGGCAGTGGTCAGAGAGAATGGCAGGATGTGGACTCGAAAATTGTAAGGATACAAACCAACGCGTGAATCATAGTTGCACCACATGCATATATGGAGGTGGCATCCACCTCTTAAAAATTAACTCCCTCCACTTCGTTCTTTTTCTTATTGAATTTTTTGTATCATTTCACAAAACTTGGCTCCAAAATTACACTTTCGGAAATTTCAGATTGTTAATTTAAACATATACACCCCCTTAAGGTCTTTTCGTATTTTCATATAACTTCCTTATGTTTTACAAAGCTTTCACGAAACTTTGTTACAACAACACAAAAAATATAATCAATTTCAAGGGATTTCACGGTAATTATTTACAAAAAATTTATACTTTTTGGGGAGCTGTTAATATTTGTATTTTGAAATAATCATTTACAAAAAATTTCGTCAATTTCATCATAATTTTATTTTTTTTTTTAATTTAAGTGCCATTTCCACATTTTTTTTTTCGTCATTGAGAGACACTTGGCTCCACAAAATTGTAGAGAAATTCGTACACTAAAATAGTTCTTGGCTGATTCAGAACTTGCTGCTTATATTTAAAATCTTTCTTATTATAAAACATTACGTAAAAAGAATATTTTCAAAATATCAATAAAAATGAAGGTAGTTTAGCCGTTGTGAATTATGGTCGTTGCATAGATTAATTACATACCATAATTATCTTTACATAGTGTTTTAATAATATCAATGATTATGATCATAAAGAGGAAGTCCCTAAATCCGTCACGAACTTTTTTTTTGTGTAAGAATTTATCACCAATACAGGTGCCCATCTTGATGCCTACATCATGCGATGAACCCATTCACCTAACTACCCCAGAAGAAGGATATATATTCAATTTTTGGGAGTTGAAGGGGTCATTTAAAAGTGCTTTTAAAATGACCAAAAATGTTTTTGATGAAAGTATTTTATAACTAATTCTTAGTAAAAATGCAAGTGAATCATGGAAAAACACTTGAAGTGTTTTATGCAAGAAGCACCATAATTGGTGCTCTCTGCAAGAAGTACATAATTTGTGCTCTTTGCATGAAACACTTCAAGCGCTTTCGAAACCAAAAATATTTTTCACAAAAAATATTTTCACTCATTTTAAAACGTTTTCAAACGAACCCAAAAACAGCGTGCAGAGCAATGGGCGAAAAAATAAATGCCCTTGGCAAGAGATTAATAGAGGATTAGGTCTTTATGACTGTACGGCTTTGACTTTTGCACTTGAGAAACTTTGCCCACAAAATATTCGTGTAGGAAAAGGTTCAGTGCTGTGATTTTTCAAGAGTGCTGCTAGACTCACCATGATGTCTTATTTTTCACTTATATTATGATCTCATCACCATAAAAAGTTAAAAAATTGAAATACTACTTTCCCACCCATTATATATATCTAAATTCTTTTTTAATTTTTCAAAAGAATAAATTTTAGGGTACTGACAAGCCCATACTAGCCTCCACTCACTTATTTTTATTCCAGCTAGAATTCCAGAATTCGGTCACTTCTTAGATTTCCATCTGATTACAAATCTCCTTCCTTCTCTCTCTCCGAACCTCCAATGCAACCCCCTTCTAAATCCCATGACCAAGCCTCATGCCACATTCTCAAAATTGTGTCCTCAAGCCCCATTTCTAAATTCGCGACAACCCGGTCTTGCCCATTCAAGCCCAATTCCTTCTTCTGGTCCATTTCATTTCCCAAAATTTTAAATAATTATTTAATTAATTAAAGTTTTTGAACAATTATTACATATGATTAAGCTAGCGTAATTAAAAATGAAGAAAATAATTATTTGAAGGAATTGAGATAATTGCAAAGAGCTGGTGAGGAAGATAATCTTGGTTGTTTTTTGTTTTTATATATATCCTTAATGTCCTTTTACAAGAGGGTAAAATTTGTATCAAAGTTTTTATTAAAAGATGGGTGAAAAAAAATAAGAGAGTGGGTGGGTTTATCAACACTTTTTTTTTTCTTCTTTTCTTTTTTTAAATATATTTCAGTGTTCAACTAAAAAACTTATGATTCATCCTCTATAAATTATAGAGAGAATTGAACAGATAAATGATTTCAAATTTAGTCATTTTAACATGCAGAATAAGGAGAAATGAAGAGGTTAAAGGAGAAGATCCAAATAAAGTCTCAACATTCTCTTTACTATTTTAACCTTGAATAGTTTTGTAAAATATAAATTGTTGAAATCCAACGACCAAGTTAAATAGCGCATACAATCAAGGATTTAGCTACACACCATCTCGATGGTCAGATGGTAGTTGTATTACATACATATACTTCACATGAATTATGTTGAAAATGTGCCATAAAACCAATAATACGATGATAGTTTATGGACATTTCACATGTTAAACTAATGTAAGAGCAAAGATTACTGTTTAAAGCCGTCTCATATAAACGTTATACGCTTGAACAATAAGTTCAAGGAATATGTAATTGAGAGAATGTGATCTAAAGAAGTTAGATTCATGAGACCATTCTTTTTCGTATACATATCCTAAAAGTTCATGATCATAAGATTGCCAAGGCATTGACAGTCCGTTAAGATTAGTACGTGTTATGTCTTCTCTCAAAGAAAGTGATTGGTCTAGAGTCATTGGTGTGACTGACACTAAGACAAGCATATAGGTGCTCAATAGAGAATGAGTCCATTGAATGTGATCAACAAGGAGTTCTCATACTCATGTCACATGAACTCAAGGTTGGGATAATGCAAAGTAGTCCTTTGACCTGAGGCATCATAGTCGTTTTGTGGTTAGGTCCTTGATCTTTGATTGTGTCAAAGGCACTCCATCAGAGAGTGTCTAAGATATAGTTGGGGTTAAGCCACTTAACTATAAAGGTAGATGAATGCACAACAAGGGATCTCTAACCTTCAAATAGTTTAGTGAGAATACTCTATGATATGATTAATAATCTCTAGCTAGAGTATAAATGACATTTAGGAAGATTTGAAGACATTCTAGGTAATCATATAAGTAAAATCACATTGGATATACATGAATAAACTATCAAACCAAACAATGTGACCAAGAGTATTGTATTAGAGAAAGACCGTATTGCATTGTAACCCCAAACTGAATAGGTTCTCCAACATCTTCTGATTATCTTGGGTAGCCATGATATACTGTTAGGTGTCACTCATGGCTTGTGTAAGCCCTAAAGGTGTATAATCACTAACGGGAGAATTGAAAGTAAGTTTCAATTCACAATCGATTAGTAAGAGTTCTAATTGCCCATTGCCTCAGTAAAAGGAACCTAATAGATCATACATTGTGTAAGATAATGATTGAAGGATATAATGAAGATGAGTAAGGACAATTAAATAGTTTAATTGTCTATGGCAAAGATTAATTAAAAGTTAATTAATCAAGAACGAAAGGCACATAAGGGATTAATTAAAACTTAAACCTTATGTGCCTTGTGGACCAAACTATTTAATAGTCCACTTTGTTTTAGTTGTCACACAACTTAAACCATAACAAACTGGACAATTAAGCCACCAACAATAGGGAGGGCGGCCGTGCTTAGAGAGAGTGTGATTTTGGACTTATTACAAGTTTGTCACTCCAATGAAGGTAGGTATAAAAGTAACTTTATAGCCTTTTCTTCATGAGGGTATTCTTTGAGGAAAGATGAGAGAACACAAGCTCTTTCTTTCTAGAGAGGCGGGGCACCATGGGAGAACATTGCTAACATTTTGTTTTTCCATGGTCACTCATCTTCTTCCTCAACCATTCCTTGGTGTCGGAGTTTAGAGGTCAATTTTAGGGACTTTTGGATAACCCATTCCTCCATCCATATCCAAGAAGTCATGGAGCCAAGAAGCAAAGTTCCTCCATCCACGTCCATGGAGCCAAGGCGCAAGGAGACAAAGAAAAGAAGGCCCTCACATGGGTAAATATCATTTGCTAAGTAAAGAGGTGCTAAAGGTATAAAAGTTTCTCAACTCCCTTCTTTTAAGATTTGGGTTGAGTCTTGGTTTACCACAACTACTAGGCTTTGAATTTCATGGTTTAAGTTTTTGTTTTAAAGTGCATATAAACATGCTTCTGCCATTTAATTGTTAAATGCATGTATTATGTGGCTTAATGAACTTAGTTTTTCACAAAATTTCCTTCGAATTATATACGACGCTCATATGGTGATTGTATTAAATACATGTAAATATTGTAGCCAATCCCATAAATCACAAGGAAGTTATCAAGCCTCAAAATTTCAGAGCATTATCATAACATTTATGTTACAATGGTGAATCTAATACGACTATGAGAGAGTACATTTATTCAACTGAAAAAAGAAAACAAATAA